CTGCTGCTGTTGCTGCTGCTGCTATCGCCGAGGCAGTACCCGGAGGCAGGTGCGGGAGCTCGAGGCAAGGGCTAGCACCCTCCAGGCACTTGCAGCGGGGCAGGGTGCTGGGGAAAGCATCAGAAGGTGCAGGATCATATTTGCGCGAAGAATACAAACGTAATGGTCATGATCATATTTTCGATGAGAGTACTAACAACCTTGGCAAGAATGATCATCCGTTGTTCCGCTTTATATTATGAGACTTCTGCGTTCCTTAAATCAGGTTGATACGACGAATTGCCTTTATGTCAATTTAAGGAGTATTTGAGGGTTCGGTTTTAAGATCTGCTAGGCGCTTACGGGCTTGAGCTGTTTTCCTCGAGTTGCATTGGTTGGAGATCTGCCTGAGATGGTTTCGTAGGGTGCTATTGCGGGATACTACTAGTACAAAATCCCCTCTAAACTCCCTGAGACGTTTTACCCCCAAGCGCCCAAGCGAAATAACCTACTCAGCCCTAAACCATGACCCTTACAAGGCAAACATCCAAAGAACTGAAGCCCCCAAGCCAGGAACAAAAGCCTTAAGAATCCAACTCGAGCCTGCGTGGTGCACGTTCAGAGACTCTGGAAATAAGCCTGAGTTTGGGTTCAGAGAGCTTTAAAGGGTTTTAGGGTTTTTTGGGGCTCGTAGGGTTATAGGGTTTAGGGCTTATAGGGTTTAGGTTTATAGGGTTTAGGGTAGGTTTTAAGACCCAAATTTCCAGAGCCCGTCAAGGTCATCCAAAGCATCGAATCACCGAGATGATCCCACCAAGTCCTAAAACCCCCGCGCTTCACCCTCCGCAACCCAATAAAGCTTCCTAAAAGTTAAGAGAAACCCAATGCAGCCGACCATGCCACATCTCGAGCTTTCTGCGAACACCCTGTGAAGAAACTTTAAACCCAAGCCCTAAACCCCTAAATCCTAAACCTTCTTCCCTTAAACCCTTAAACCCCTAAACCCCTAAACCGTTAAACCCTAAACCCCTAAACCCTAAACCCCTAAACCCCTAAACCCTAAACCCTTAAGCCTCTAAACCCTAAACCCTAAACCCTGAACCCTAAACCCTAAACCCTTAAACCCATAACCC